CACTGCCAGTGGCCTTGATGTAGCCACTTCAGATGAGGTCTCGTTGCTAAATGCCTTCAAAATAAATCCTCGAGTCATAGCGAATGCGGGTTTAAGACTTCTGCATCGATCTCTTCGGTATGCGCCATGCACTCGCCATCGCTTCGCATTTAGGAGAGAGGCGGGAGGGAAGGATGGAAGGGGATGTAGCATTCACCACAACCTGCCCAGCCAACTGGCTTGCATCTAGTCCCACTAGAGAAGAGCCTAGCTGGTGCAGTGCTTCTTTCACTCTATCTATGCCACATGCCTTGTGTCTTTCCCTTGCGACCACATTGCTGGAGATGAAGTCCTCCCTGATTCGGGCCAAAACGAGTTTTATCCAAAAAGTGTATTTCACTAACAACAACCGCAGGCTCATGGAAGAGTTGTCCACAAAGCCATCTCACTTACACTTTTTCGAGAAGGTGGCCCCGACAATGTTCAATTTTCCCTTCTGCTGCGTCCACTCCACCTCATAGCGGACTAAATACGGTCTCACCATTTCTTCCAGGACAGGAGCTTTATCGTGCTGCTTGCTCAGTAGTTGCTAGTTGACTTGAACACCTCAGTTAAATCAATTAGATCCTGGCCGCCGCGCGTATGACGCCATTTGCAGCGTCGCTTTTCCGTGTATCGCGATCCAGACGAAACGTCCTACACCTCTACTTCGAGCGTTGGTCACAACATCCTACCCGTGCGGGAGGACGGCTAAGGCCTCAGTTGGTGCTGCACTTGCTACTGGACCAACTGACGTCTCAAGTACACTGACTAGCGAACATTCGGCTAGTTTGCGCGCGATTCCGCGCCTCGAAAGTCTTAAACACCTCTCTTGTTCACCTGTGTACCTCTACATGCTGGGGTGCCAAAGCCAGCCTCTGACACGCCCCAGCATCTGCAGCGAACAAGACTGTATCTGCACCGATTTGCTGATATGAGATCACCAATGTTTTGATGTGTAGTACACATTCTGTGAACCAATTTTACAAAAAATACTTTGCACTGAGAAAAAACCGTATATAATTGATGCATGGAATAATCAGACACATCAAAGCACCATCAAAAGAAACCAAGAATGACGGAAACATCAATGCGGAACACTACAGTGAGAAACTAGAAAACTTCCAAGAATGCGCATTGTTTATGGCTTAAAAGTATTGGCGGCGGTCCTAATAATTAATCACGAAGGGCCTTATGAGCATACTTACATTTGTTCAATAAGTTATGCGTTTCAATCAAACAGTCACCGGGGCAATGGTTCTATAGCTTGATGAAATCTCGTATGGCTTCCAAACCAACAGCAGCACCGTCAACTGCACAGCATTCCACGAATTCCACAGGCCTACAACTTGTCAATTCCAAGCCGAGTAGCAAAAAGGTAAAAAGAGAACAAACTCGATAACAAGCAGATGCCCCTATGAGAAAAAAAAATCGAATATTTTTCGGCGCCAATTCTAGGGGATCATTTCGCACTTTCGCTACTTTATTGAAGAGTCGAGACATAAGATGGAGACTTGTGAAAACCAGTGAAGCCAGGAGATGAACAGCCAAAGTTTGCAGAAACTACTTATCAACTCTTGTAAAGCAATGAAGTAACATACAAATACCAGGCGCTGTTTATCGACGGGGGGGGGCATTCTGCTTTTCATAGATTTGCCAACCCATCTAGGTACCCTTTTTTCGAGTTGACACGTTTTAGGATGGTGGCTAGACGATCTTGCTCCAGCTTCACAAGCGCAAGTTTTACCAGAGTGAGATTTGTAAACCGGAACCAGGGAAGCAATTATAATACAAAATGCCCCCCCCCCGTCGATAAACAGCGCCCAAATACCATTTACCATGGTGGCTTGACGAATCGATCAACTTCACAAGAGTTCACAGGTTTCACCAGAGTGAGACTTGTAAACCGGAACTAGTGAAGCAGCGAAAGTGCAAAATGCCCCCCCCCCTCGTATCGCAAACCGCGCTTATTTTTGTGTTTCCTAGGGGCATAACCTGAAAAGAATGAACTCACTTCGGTAAGTCATCCCATGAGAAAGTTTGCTCCAGTGTCTGTAAGAGTGTTATGCGATGATGACCCATCTGTGGACGTAAGTGCTGCCGCCCGTGTTTTGTTGATCAATCCCATCTCCTTCTCCAATGACAGACGAATGACCTAAAAATGAAGTTACAGTGTAAAAAGCTTATGATGAAAATCTTCTGGGAATGAAACCTACCTGACTACTCTTCGCCAGGCCGTGATCTTGTTTATTGCAAGCAACAAGGATTGGTACCTGAGAAAAAATAAAATAAGTCCATTTCTTCAAGCAACCTATGATTGTGGGGTTTTGGAACATTCCACAAGGAATGCGGAATACTGCCAAGAATTCTTCTCTAAACAGCAGCTTTCGAACGTCACTGTGCAGGAAGTAAGCCCAGGATCGTTTCCAGAACATCCGGAAAATAAAAAAAGCGAAAATCTGACCTTTTTCCCGCTTTCCAAAGGCAACATCATAGAGGAACTCTGCCACATCACGAGATCGCTTAGAAAATGACGAAGAGTCTACCACGAATGTTATACCTCGCAGAGATGAACGCTCCTAAAACAAATCCTGGTGGAGACTTCGTAATTAAAAACATATGGAACGACCATAGGTGGAGACTTCGTAATTAAAAACATATGGAACGACCATACCTTTTTTAGCCATTTCTCCACCAGGTGCTTTCGCATACGTTCCGCTCCGGGAAAGTCCACAACCTGAGCACAAAAAGTAAGTCATAACAACTATGATATAGAGGTGACCTTACAAACTTCTGCGATCAATCAGTGATCTTCAAACTCACCTTTAAATGTTGCCCTTTGACGTCGATATCCAAAACATTTTCTTGAAATGACGTATAGGTCACCGGCTCATTGTCTGAAATGAGTCAAGCTCTCATTACAAGTGACATATACCAAACAAAAAACTTCAGCGTCTGACTAAGACGAATATATTTCTGAAAGTTAGAAGCGGAAGCCTTCATTGAGACACTGATAAACTAAAAGCAGTCTCCTTTTATTTTGTAGCAGCTATGACAAACGAAAAATTCGCACAAGGATTAGCTACTTCAACCCAACATCGCACCTAAGGGATGGAGGCGAAGGAAGTGGAGCTGCTCACAATGATCATACTGAGAAAGTCAAACTCCGGATCGCCTTCCGCCCAAGCCAATCGAACCTTCCCTTTGTCCAGAGCTGTTGAGTTTGCTGGAAGCTCGTAGTGGAGGACAAGTTAAGTGAGTTTAAGACACATGGTACGCTCAAACACGTTAAGGGTGTATGAGACTAACAGCCCCCCAGCTGTCGATGTGTCGTGGTTTCCCCGCCCGAAACTGCACGGGGTTCCTAGTACGGGACCGTGGGAAAGGCTTATTCCTTGCTACGCCGCCCGAAATGCAACTTGCGCGCGGCGAAATGCAACTTGCGCGCGGTGCATTTTGGGCGGTGTAGCAAGGAATAAGCCTTTCCCACGGTCCCGTACTAGGAACCCCGTGCAGTTTCGGGCGGGGAAACCACGACACATCGACAGCTGGGGGCTGTTAGTCTCATACACCCTTAATGTGTTGAGCGTACCATGTGTCTTTAAACATGGTTAGTGCCCGTAATTCATGGTAGGATACATCGAACCGCAAATGCTTGCTACCATGATTCGGAATGTGTGTGGGATGTGCGACGCATCATAAGAGGAAAACCGTTCAACGTCGAAAGGTTTATCTCTCAGCGCACATGATTTAGTGACTACCGGCGCCAGCCGATGTGCAAATCAGTAGCGAATAGGGCTCTTGGGACGTGCGAAAACTAGCCTAGTGCGCTCTCAGGTGCCTAACAAGATAAGCTACCAACAAGAAGTTTCAGCCAATTTCAGGGAGGGTCTCACGGAACGTTGACTAATAAAGCAGTACACGAAAACACGCGTACTGTCGCCACCTAGCAGACAAAACAGAGAAAGTTTGCTTGGCTAGGGCAGGAGCTACCCCAAAACTTGCCACTACACCATCTCCTTAAGTAAGAAGGCATGGAGACGAATGTCGACTTCAAACAGTGTGAGATGAAAGTGTAGCAACTTCGAATGTTCCCAAAGCTCCCGTAGGCAGAATTCACAATTCGCAATGCTTGCGATCCAGTCGCGCACCTCCGGCGAACTGGCTGTGGAGCGTCAGAAAGCGGCCCCAGTGACTAGCGCATGAGAAGGACGGCGAACCCCCTCCACACGTCTAATCACAGAATTGCCTGCCTCGCTCGGGTCACGCGTTTAAACGCCCGTCCAGCTGACTATGATCTCTACTTTTCAACATCCTGAAGAGACTTACTTTTGTTAGCGATTTTTCCAAAGATGTGGGTTTTGCCGGAATCGCTGAGTCCAACTAACAGGAAAGTGTCAGCTTTACTTTTCAAGGATCTGAAAAAGCGCAACATCTTTACACCTACGAAATGAAACTAGTGGAAAATCATACCTATAGAAAAAGAAGGCTACTGTAAGGAAAACAACAATAGCAGCAACAACGATAGCTAGGAGATTCGGTTCCGCAAAGGCTGGTTTTCACCAACACCTCAGGCTCGTCTCTTTCCATGGGTTCCATCTGACCATTGATAAAAGAGATTTTGTTATAAGTGATTGAAAACGAAAAGAAAACACTGCAGTAGGCACATCCTTGAGGTAAGAAGCTGAAAACATGTCAGAAAATCTTTATTTCCTTCCGCATAAGAAATACTGTACAGCAAATTCCTAAATATAATTCAATTTTCTATATGATACATCTGTTTCACTCGCTTGGAGAGGTCGTTTTTGCCTTTGATCCGTTTAGATTCCTCAAACAAACAGCTTCTACCCACTGAAAGAGGATTAGATTATGAATGTTCGGAACAGGTCACTGATAAATGGTACCCACATGCTGGATCGTGAAATATTCCTGAAAATTTCTCCGCAGCTCTTTCTCTGACCCAGACTCTCGTAGATCCAGTTATGACACTTGCCAGTTGCACAATCACATACCTAAAACTTTCATGATTT